GAAGAAGGCAGGGGTGGGGGGTGCTGCCAGAAGGTGTCTGGCCGCTGTGGGAGTTCTGGGCGGGCAGAGCTGGAGATTTTAACCCCTTTTTAGACAATGAAAACTTTGCAGAACATTAACCTTCCTAGAAGAGAGATGGAGATGAAACAGAGGAAGAAATGGGCAGGTGTGATGAACGTTCCTCTAAGTGAAAGATGTTGGAAGAGTGGAGAAGAATCTTAGGTGGGAAGAGATGATGGAGTGGGCTTAGCTGAACTTTCCTTGTATAGCCATGGACAGAACCATGTTTCCTGTGACACAGAGATTGCATCCAGGAGCAGGTAATGGCTCAGAGTCAAGAGGGTTCAGTGTTGAGACCCCTTGGCCTCAGGGAGTGAAATTTGCGGTGTCCCAAAGGAGAGACTGCGCTCTTTTTGGAATGGGACAAAGCATCCTTAAAAGGAAAACCCTAGAAGCACCTCTGGCCCATGTGCAGTGGTGAGAGCACTGGACATGGAAGGAAGAGGTCACAGATGTTCTCCGGGTAGTGCCACGAATGACATGGAAACACACGAGGTTTCGATGGTGTTTCCTGAGGAAGCCTATGGCACAAGAAGCACTCCTCTCCTCTTGATGAACTGAGAATTGATTATCTAAAGGGTGGTGATGGACTGATACTTGGTGATCTGAGGGATAGATGTATTGGAAATTTGGTGGGGGGAAGAGAAAAAGTTTTTGGAAGGTATTCATTTTTCCTGTGTTTCTTTTTACATGTAGTTGTAGTTTAGTTAATAAAATTTTCTTTTTCTTTATTTCTAAGTGCGGGCCTGCTTTGCTTATTTCTGGTCACATCTCACAACAGACACCAGGGAGAGTGTATTTTCATGGGGGCACAGGCATTGCACCAGCGTCAAACCATGACAACCATATGGAACATGTGGACCATGGTAAAAGATGTTAAATAAATAAATAAAATACATTAAATTCAAAACTACATTTATAAATAAATAAATAAAAACATTCCCAGATGTTCCAGGAGCGCCTCAGCCTCATGGTCTGGGAAGAAAACTTATCACCATGAGTCAGCAGAGTGGCTGTCCAGATGGCTTTGCAGAATGGCTGGTATTACTGCCTAGTGTTACAGGGTTAATACTGGGGTGCAAGGAAGCAGCATTTTTGAAATTCACTAGACTCAATATGGAATGTTAGGGGAAAAACCAAAAAAGGAAAAGGGAGGGATCAAGATGGTTTGGAGAGAAATAGACATAGGAAAATAAAGGAATAGTACAATAAGTGGGGTCAGTCATGCTGACAGATGCTGACAAAAGCTGATCAGTGTGCTTGTAAGGCCCTGCCTTGCACCTGGTCCCTGCACTGTCCGACAGTACCCTGTTTCCTCATTAGACTCAATGTGTATTTTCTGACTGCTCTGCAGAGAGAGTGGGAACTGGTGGAATCAGATGAGAAACCTTTTTGCACACTTGTCTGTGTATGAACATGTCTGTATGAGGTAGCTGAAAAGTTGAGTGTCCAAAGGCCAGCTACAGGGTGGTCAATATGGTGTTGATAAAGGTACCCTATATCATGGTACACCATGATAACTTATCCTTTGGAGCTCAGTAATCTAAAGATTTATAGAATGTCTCATGGATAGGCCTTAGTTACCCTTAGTCACCCCTTTTTTCCTCTAAAGGTACAAGTGACATCAGGTTAGTTATAATTTCACACACGAATCTCTTAAAAAAGAAGCAGCATAAGGATGCAGGACAAAGTCACTTCGCAATTGTTTTCTTCAGTTATGTTTCAAGCTTCCAGAACAACAATTGCATTGAAAAATGCATGGATTCTAACTTGGCCCCTTCCAGGAGTGCTATGGTCATGAATCCCTATGCCTAAAATGATTCCTAATTATTTTTACCTTTTTATTAGATATTACACACGAAGAAGGACAACCTTCTGTTCAGAAAGGTCAGTTTCATTAGAATGAAGACCACCACAGGATAGTATAGACACTTATGATCTTATATTTTCAGAAAAAAGGGATGAGAATTTATGTTTTAGTGTTCTGCAGCCATCCATGGGGACAACCTTCCAATATGCCAAGGTATGTGTCCAAACGGTACAGGGGGACCTTTTCCCAAAAGCCTGCAGGGACAGAGGCGCAGGGCAGGGACAGCGTAGCACAGCCTGGGCTGCACAGGGCACAGGCATGTGCAGCAGCTGCAAGACAGCCCTGCCAGAGCCACCTTGGGCAGCACTTTGGCCATGGCTGCTGGGCCTGGGCCTGAGGCAGGAGCAGGAGACAAGCGACCCTTGCAGGCCTGGGGCCTCATTGCCTCCTTGTCCCTGCTCAGCAGCCTGGCAGGGGCCGCCCCATGCTCCTGCCCTTGCCATTGCACATCCCCACATGCCAGTGCCCATCCCGGCAAGAGCCCTGAGCAAGGAGGGAGGGACAGCATCTGCCTGGCCAGGGGCTGGGGCTCAGCCCTTGGCCCTTTGCATTCCTCAAACACATCCAGCTTTGCTCAGCACCAGAGACACCTTGGCCTTGTTTGTCCCCAGCTGTCATCACTGCCTCCAGTGTTCTGCTCTAACTGGAACCTGGGGACACTTTCTCATTTGTTTCTCTCAGTGGAACCCATTAAAACTTCAAGAAAGTTTGGAGTTTCAATTTAATTTTGAGTTCTTGAGAAGTTTTTTGAAGACACTCTCAGGGACTGAGTCTGATGAAAACAACACCAAATCCCCAAGAGACACATTAAAGTCCTTGTGCTGTGTCTGTGCTACTGAGCTTTAAAGGAACATCTCTTCCCAGGACCAGCTCCTCTCCCAGTCCAGCAGGGCTAAGGGCTCTGCCTGCAGGCACTGAGGGGACAGGAGCCAGGCAGAGACAGGCTGAAGGCAATCAGGACTGGGAAGATATTGAGCTGAGACTTCACTTGGGGAAACATCTTCACAGCCCTCTACGTGGTGAGTTCTCTGTGGCACAGGAGGAGGAGGAAGGGGAAGATGTGCTGCAGAGTGGGGGTGCCCTGGGCACCGTCAGAGGGACAGGGCAGGACGGCTCCTGCTGCCAGGGACGGCTACAGGGGGTGAAGCTGGGGCTGCAGCCAGGGCTGTCCAGAGCTCCAGCTCATGCCCAGCTCATTTCTGAGAGGACTTGTCATGAACTCATTCAGGGCAGGAGTTTCCTGCTCGGGTCTCTGCTTTTCCGAATCTGTGCTCCCAATTTTCCGTGGCTCAGCCTGGTGGCAATGGAAACTCAGGTATGCAGGGTAGAGCAGGGGCTGAGGCTCTTACACCATCACCCTGAGGATTCCTGGGCACCTCAGCAAGTGCCTGCACCTGCCCAGCCTCCAGATCCATGCAGCATCACCTTTCCCTGGTGCCCAGGCTGGGGGAGCTGTTCTTTAATCCCTGCAGGGCGCAGCAGCTGCAGGGCATGGCTGGCCCAGGGGCTGGGCTGGGCTCTGGCAGCTCTGGCAGGGAAGGAGCCCGGGGCCACAGGAGCAGCGGGGGCTGGGACGGCTCCAGCAGCAGAACCGTGGGCAGGCAGGGAGGGAGGCAGTGCTGAGGGGAGCCCTGCTGCAGGGCAGATGTGACACCTGCCGGGCCTGCCCTGCAGGGCAGACTCTGCCCTGAGCAGCACAGCTCTTGTGTCCCCTCGCAGCCAGCACAGCCCTCAGCCCGGTGGCTCGGGGCCCTCAGTCCCTCCTGGGCCAGCAGAGCAGCCCCAGAGATGAAGGGCATCTCTGCGGCCATGTGCCCATTCCCTGCTGACCAGGGCCTGAGGGCCACTGTCCTGCCCTGCTGCTGCCTGGCAGGGGCTGGCCAGGGCTGGCCAGGGAAAGGCTTTTCCTCAGGCCCAGCTCTCTCTCTCTGCTTGCCTTGCCCAGGTGCTGCTGGCATTGCTGAGGGGCTCTCTGCAATGGCAGTTCCAGCTGCAGGGCCAGGCCCAGCCCTTGGGCTCCTCCTGTGCAGGCTGAGCACAGCAATGGGGTGTCCCAGCTCCCTGTGCCCGGGCAGCTCTGGGCAGGGCAGCCTGGGAGGCTGGCAATGAGCCCACTCTCCTGACTCTGGGAAAGGCAGGAGCCACTTTGTGTGCCAGGGATCCCTCTGCTCTCAGCAGTGTCTCCTGGCTGTCTAGGGTAACACGGGAGTGGATTTCAGAAAGGTGCAAGTGCAGGGCAGCTGGAACAGGAGAGAGGGACAGAGCAGCTCCCCTCAGTCTGCACTAAGCCAACCCTCCTGCCTCTCTGGACTCTCTGTTCTCCCCAGGTGCAGCAGAATCCCTCATTCTGCCTTCTGTTATCCCCATCACTTCACCCAGTTCTGCAGCCTTACCTGAAGATTCTTTATCCAAGCCTGAACACCAGGACTGGGCCCTGCTCTCACTGTTCCCCTGCACTGACTGGGGGTGTCCTGGAGGCCAAGGTCCAGCTCCTCACACAGCATTGGCCAGCAGCAATCAGAGCTCCACCAACAATGGTGAAGGAAGATCTCCTAGACATAGACAAGGGGGAGGTGCTTAGTGGAAAGAAAGAGGCTACGACAAAGAGTTTTGATTTTTCTGTGAGAAATTTCCCCTCCATTGCCCTGTCTTTCCTCCTTCTGTACGTTGAAATGTGCAGACACAGGAAATGTCCAACAGCAGCTCCATCAGGCACTTCCTCCTGCTGGCATTGGCAGACACGCGGCAGCTGCAGCTCCTGCACTTCTGCCTCTTGCTGGGCATCTCCCTGGCTGCCCTCCTGGGCAACGGCCTCATCATCAGCGCCATAGCCTGCAGCCACCACCTGCACACGCCCATGTTCTTCTTCCTGCTCAACCTGGCCCTCAGCGACCTGGGCTCCATCTGCACCACTGTCCTCAAAGCCATGCACAATTCCCTCTGGGACACCAGCACCATCTCCTACTTAGGATGTGCTGCACAGCTCTTTTTCTTTCTGTTCTTCATCTCAGCAGAGTTTTCCCTCCTGACCGTCATGTGCTATGACCGCTACGTGTCCATCTGCAAACCCCTGCACTACGGGACCCTCCTGGGCAGCAGAGCTTGTGCCCACATGGCAGCAGCTGCCTGGGCCAGTGCCTTTCTCAATGCTCTACTGCAAACAGCCAATACATTTTCCCTGCCCCTGTGCCATGGCAATGCCCTGGGCCAGTTCTTCTGTGAGGTTCCCCAGATCCTCAAGCTCTCCTGCTCATACTCCACCTTCAGAAAAATTTGGATTTCATTGCTTGGTGTCTGTTTAGGTTTTGGTTGTTTTGTGTTCATGGTTTTCTCGTATGTGCAGATCTTCAGGGCTGTGCTGAGGATCCCCTCTGAGCAGGGACGGCACAAAGCCTTTTCCACCTGCCTCCCTCACCTGGCCGTGGTCTCCCTGTTTGTCAGCACTGGCACATTTTCCTACCTGAAGCCCCCCTCCATCTCCTCCCCATCCCTGGATCTGGCAGTGTCAGTTCTGTACTCGGTGGTGCCTCCAGCCATGAACCCCCTCATCTACAGCCTGAGGAACCAGGAGCTCAAGGCTGCGGTGTGGAAACTGATGAATAGACCGTTACAGAAAGATTAGCTTCTGACCAGTTTCTGCAAATCTCATGTAATAAAAGTCATCTTTGATACCACTTGGGTTTGTTTGTTATATGTTCTTGTCTTTCGGTTTAGCGTTTTATTATTTACAACAAAGGAAGGTCAGTGTTTGTACCATTTCTCATTTTGTTTCTCTCAACCTTCACGGTGGCGTCAGACTGTGTCAATGAAGAGCTGCACTCTCAGTGGCTTCAGACAGAATAAAGGCTCTCCGAGCAGACTTTTCACCAGAGTTCCACCTTACGTTGCCTTCTCTGGAGCTGCAGCAGCAATGTCTGTGTGCAGAGCTGGGGCAGATCAGGGCTGGCACAGCAGCTGTGCCCAGCAGCAGAAGCACTTAGTGTTGCCAGAGCTGCTGCCGTGGCCCTGCCCCGCTGCCCTGGTGGCCCTGGTGTTGCTGCAGGGCCTGAGTGCTCTCGGGGCCGGGCACAGCCCTGGGGGTGGCAGTGCCAGGGCTGCAGCAGGGACAGGCCATGGGCATGGCTGGGGCAGTGCTGACGCCTCAGCCCAGGGCCTGGGGGCTCCAGGCTCCTTGCCCAGGCTCTCTCAAGAACACGCCCAGGCCAATGCTCAGCACAGAAAAGCCCCGTGAGCAGCCCCAGGCTGGCCGTGGGCAGGCTGGGGGCAAACAGCATGGCTGGGGCTCTGCAAGGGCCCTGGGGCAGATGGGAAGGAGCAGCAGAGCAGGGGCTGATCCATCCCCAGTGCGCTGCACAGCCCAGGGCAGCATCCCAGAGCGTCCTCATGGAGCTGCCAACAACATCCCCCCTCTGCAGCCCCGGCCTCTCCCCCAGCTCACACGGGTGCCCCATCCTTGCAGGCACAGACACGGCAGCAATGGCTCAGCAGCCCCTGTTTGCATTGCACAGAGCAGGGGGAGCACCCCCATGCTGTTGCTGTGGGGACATGAACATGAGGGAGCACAAGTGCCATCAGCCCCTGGGACCAGCAATGGCTGGGGGATGGTAGGGAAACACTCAGGTTTGTTGTGACAAACTATTGAGATCAGCAAATCCAACCTGCATCCTAATACCACCTTGCCTACCATGAGCCTCCTCCAGATCATAGAATACCAGCTCCCTCGGTTCCTTGAAACCAGATTCCTCTTCCAGACCCCTCCCCTGCCTCGTTGAATTTGTCTGGACACACTCCAGCCCCTCCATGGCCTTCCTAAATTGGGGGCCCAGAACTGGACACTGCACTTGCGGTGTGGCCTCACCATTGCCGAGTGCAGGGGAAGAATCACTGCCCTGCTCCTGCTGGCCACACCATTCCTGATCCAGGCCAGCAGCCATTGGCCTTCTTGCCAGCCTGGGCACACTGCTGGCTCATGTCCAGCCTGCTGTCCATCAGTGCCCCAGGGCCCTTTGTGCCTGGCCGCTGTCCAGCCACTCTGTCCCCAGCCTGTAGCATTGCAGGGGCCAAAGTGGCCAAAGTGCAGGACCCAGCACTTGGACTTAGTAAATTTCATCTTATTGGACTCTGCCCATCCATCCAACTGTTCCCGGTCTCTCTGCAGAGGCCTCCTACCTTCCAGCAGATGGACACACGCTCCCAGATTAGTTTTGTGTGCACATTTACTACTGAAAGTCTCAACACTCTCATCCATGTTGTCAGTAACAATATTGAACAGAACTGGCTCCAGCAGAGACCCCTGAGGGACACCTCAGGTGACTGCTTTCCAGCTGGATGCAGCAGCATTCACCACCACTCTCTGGTGTAACATTCACCGCCACTCAACTGGCCATCCAGCCAGTTGTAGGTGTTTAGTTGATGCCCCTCGTTCTTTCAGAGAATATTAAAGAACTTAAAAATTTCATGGTCAGTAGTGGTGTTCACAGAGGTCCCAGAAGAGGGAAGAGAAAAGGATCTGACTCCGTGTTTCAGAAGACTAATTTATTATTTTATGATAGATATTATTTTAAAACTATACAAAAAGAATAGAAGAAAGGATTTCATCAGAAGGCTTGCAAGCAAAGGAGAAAGAATGGAATGATAACAAAGTCCTGTGTCTGACCAGAGAGACACAGCTGGACTGTGATTGGCCATTAATTAGAAACAATGACATGAAGCCAATCACAGATCCACCTGTTGCATTCCACAGCAGCAGATAATTATTGTTTATATTTTGTACCTGAGGCCTCAGCTTCTCAGGAGCTAAATCCTAGCAAAGGGATTTTTCAGAAAATATCATGGCTACAATGGTCACTGTGCCCCAAACAGCCTCTGACCACCTCTGATCTGCCACCAGCCCTTCTCTGTTTATGACCAGCAGGGGACAGAGCTTTCTTTGGCAGTGGGAATTGCAGGAAACCTCCCCAAAGAGGCTCTTGGAAGGTTCAGCCCGGAGCTGAGGAGAAAGCAAAGTCCCTCGCAGGGCAGAATGTTGGTGCTGGAGGTGTGGCAGTGTGAGGCTGGGCCATGGCCGGGCTCTGTGTGCCAGGAGCCGGCAGCGCTGGGTGCAGGGAGCCCAGGGAGGGCAAAGAAACGCTGGGTGAGAAAGGCTGGGGCACAGCGAGATGGGCGAGTGCAGCCAGCCAGGGCAGAGGAGCAGCACGCCCAGGGGGCACAGCCTGCAGGACAGATGGCCAAGGGCTGGGCAGGGCTGGCAGGGCCACAGGCAGCACCTCTGGAGGCCCCACAGGAGGAACTTTCCCGGCAGGGGCTGCACTTTGCTTCTCCCTCGGCCTCCCTGGGGAGGCTGGCAGGGGCTGCAGGTTGATGCCATTTGTCCTTGCTGCCCCTCACATCCCCCTGGCCCACCAAGAGCCCCGAGGCAGCCGTGAGGGACAGGCCCTGCTGGCCCAGGCTGGGCTCAGGGCTTGGCCTTTCTGCTTCCTGCAGCCAAGCCAGGCCTTGCTCAGCATTGCAGTTCCCTGCTCACAGCCTTGGGCTCCCTGCAATCCTGGCCTCAAGGATCTGCTCTCACCAGGCCCTGGGCAGCCTTGGGCACTCCCTTCCCTCCCTGCGGCGCAGCCATGCTCCAAGGCACTTGGAGTTTTGCTGCTGACTCCTTGAGCAGCTTCTTCATCCTTCTCTGCGTGTCTGAGGCTCCTGGACCCAGCCCCAAATCCAGTGTAGAGCTGATTAAAATACAGAGAGCGCTCAGGAGCTCTTTGTCTCCCTTCCATTGTCTTTGAGTCTCCAGGGCTTGTGCAGTGATTGGAGTCAGTTTGGAGTTGTCTTCGGGAGGAAGATTTCAAAATGCACCTCATGATTTTTGGTTTTTTAATCACATCAGTATTTTTTTTATTTTTTAGTTTTGAGAAGAGGGGATAGAAGCATTCCCCAAGTGATCTGGATGCTGAATATCTCCTTAGGATGTCTGGGCATGGATAAGAATGAGCCCCTTGCAGGCTGAGCCTGTTTGGACAATCGGCTCCTTACCCCCAGCCTCACCATGTCTGACAACGCCCACCTGGGACTGACATCCCAAAAAAAGAGAAAAATTTTAGCATTTTTCCTTATAAATAAAATTTATTATTAACAAAATTATAATTATATTATTTTAGTTTAGGATAGTCTTATACAATAATTTATTACCGAATTTGTATATTTGAATTAAAATTGGATACATTTCTAGCAACCAAGAAAAATATTCATCATTGGTTCTAAGTAACACAATTCCCTTCATGAATTAATTAATTAATTTCCATTGGCTATTCATTTCTTTCTCTTTATGTTAATTAGTTATATTTGTAGTCTTTTTGTCATCTTTTTTATCATCTTTTTCTCAGACAGGGTTGGGGGGCTGTACACTGCGGGGTCCCTGGAGACATTTCTGGGGTACATTTGGGACAGTTTTGGGTCTGGGGAGGGAATTCAGAGAGAAATTGAGCGTCTGGAGGACACTTGGGGAAGCCGAGTAGGCACTTGGAGGGGCACTCAGGGATTCTGAGGGACAGTTCAGGGTCCGGGGCAGCACTTAGGGGTCCAGGGGGGCCCTTGGGGGTCAGGGAGGGGATTCTGGGGCCCTTCGGGGTCCGGGCAGGCCCTTGGGGGTCTCGAACCTGGCTCTCAGGGGAGCAGGTTGTGATGGGAGTTGTAGGCGCGGTTTAGTGGGGCCGCGGAGCATCACGGGAGTTCTGGGCGCAGCTGCAATGGCTCTCGGTGGGGCGCGGGGCATGACGGGAGATAAAGTCCCGGAAGTGGTTGGAACGAAATGTTTGGGAGTCCGGGACGGCTCTTGGGGGACACCTTTGCATCCGAGCCCCGACTTGAGATCCTCTGGGGGAACGTAAACGGCACGGGAGCCCTTGGGAGGAGCTCGGGGAGCTCCAACCGGGCTCTTTAGGGCGCGGGTCGCAGCCGGAGTTTTAGGCACGGGACTGTGTTCTGAGGGGCTCTGGGGCCACGGGGGATGAGAGGAGATGAATTCCCAGAAGTGGCTGTACCGGGCATCTGTGGGGATGGGAGCACTCAGGGGTTCGAGGGTGCTTATGGGAGTCCCGAATGGGCACTGAGAGGGCACTGAGGGATCCTGGAGTGTTTGGGGGACACGTATGGGACAGATGGGGGCGGATCCCGGAGTTCTGTGGAGCACGGGGCATGACGGGAGTTGTTCTCCCGGCTGCAATGGGGCTCAGTAGGGCCGCGGGGCATGGCGGGAGTTGTAAGCAAAAAGAAAATTTGCTGCCCGTGTAAGCGCCGCCCCCAGGCCCGGGTCCCTGGCGCTGATTGGCTGCGTCTGGTGATCGGTGGGAGCTTCGGCAAATGGGATGCAGTGAAGGTGGGAACAGCCCATTCACCCTCCTGCAGTCCCTCCCAGTAAAGCCCAGTTCATCCCTAGTACACAGCAGTATAACCTCAGTAAAGCCCAATTAATCCCCAGTAGAACCCAGTACAATCCAGTACCCCTCCAATCCCTTCCAGTACAGCCCAGTCCGTCCCAAT